TTCATGTATTGATTATTTCATGTATCAAATATCTTGATTATTCAGTTAAAGTAGCAAAAATGAATACAACATATTGTTTCCATGTTTGAATTCTTTTCCCAATGTTAATGTTAGAAAGGTGCTTGTTCCAGCCGTCAAGTTCACACACATACATCTTGTCCAGATCACAAACTAGATCAGTCATGAAAACATAGCAGTTAGCTTATCACATATAGTAACAAGGCAGAAACCTAGTCTAAGCACCAGCAAAGAACTTCTATAAAAGAAATTCCAGGTTTGGAAATCAACCAATAGTTTGATTAATATGTTTTCTCATGTCTAACATATTAAAAGTAGCATGTAATATTATATCACAAATAAACAACTCAGAGTTCTAGGCTTTGAGTATCCACCTCAGCACAATCACAGCACAACAAACCTGAAGTGTAAGATTCACACCTTTTGTCATCTGGAAGATTTGGCAGTCAGGAACCCAGGCATGGACTAGGCATGGCCTGTCTTGTGATCTCTCACGGTGTTGTCATACAGGTGTAGACCAGGGATAGTCTCATATGAGGCTCATATCGATCCCCAATGAACTGGTAGCTTGGGTACACTTCTAAGTTCAAGGACTCATGTCAAGATTGAGAGGTTGTTAGATCTGGGGGCTTAGGTTCATTTCAGGTCGGTGGTCGAACATCCCTTTTGGATTTTTGTCACATTAAAAACTCCCCATGACAACTGACATCACTCAGTCCAAGGACAGATGTTGTCAATAAGGTCTGCTGGTTGCAGTGAAGAGAGAACCTTCAACTTCCTGCCGTATGTACCACTCCCCGAGTAGCAGTTATTCTGTCCTGCATGGGATGTGGTCAAGAGTAACCACTGCCTGGTGTTAAATGTTCAGTTATGCCACTCAGTCTCTTAGCTGACTGTTATTATGTTATTCTGGTTAGACATTAATAGCATGTGCCCCTCACGAAGGAGAAGACAAATGAGCAAGAGGGAAGAATGCCAGGGAGTAATAGTTGACAATCATGTTAGAACTCTCTGTCCTGCCCGTGCCCTATGAATCTCTCCTTTTAATCCTATCCAGGTTCAGTTCTACATGTTCACCCACTAAGCAACAGAGCTGAAACAAGTAGTCTTTCTTTTCCTTTGTGAGATCAAATACTACAAATTTATAGTTAGAGATCAAATCCAGCCTTAGAACTTTGTAAGTGTGCGGTTGTTCTTTAGTATGTTAGTGTCATTCAAAGGTCACAGTATTTCTACTTCACTGACCCAATACTGCAACAATATCGAGATTAGTTGCTTATGGAATATATTATTTCGGTAATACTTTACTTTAGAAATATACTTCTTCCATATGTCTTTTTCTAACATAACAGCATTAAAATTAATCAAAGAAATTGATTAAAATACTAAAGAAAGAAAGTATGAGATAGAATTCACTGTTTCCATAAGTGAAATGCTCTTAGTAGGAAAAGCATGGTACATCTATAATATAATGCAAATGTAGAGAGTCTGTGTACTGGCTGGTTTTGCGTGTCAACCTGATACACTTAGAGTCATCAGAGAGGAAGGAGCCTCAGCTGAGGAAATGCCTCCATGAGATCCAGCTGTAAGGTATTTTCTCAACTAGTGATCACTGGGGGAGGGTGATGGTGATGGTGGGTGGTGTTATCCCTGGGCTAAGGGTCCTGAGTTCTCTTGGAAAGTCAACTGAGCAAGCCAGGGGTAGCAAGCCAGTCAGCAGCTCCCCTCGATGGCCTCTGCTTCCCCTGCTTTGCTCAGTCGAGTTTCTAATAGAACTGAAGGATTCAGACCTGCTTGAGTTCCTGTCCTGACTTCCTTCATTGGTGAACAACAATGTGGAAGTGTAAGCCAAATAAACCCTTTCCTCCCCTACTTGCTTTTGGTTAATGGTGTTTTATCACAGCATCAGAAATCTTAACTGAATCTGTTTTTGTTGGAATTGGTATTATCAGAAAATTTTCTCTTAGATTTCCATTATTAAACTCTAGGAAAAAAACAATAATTTATTTTAATAGTTAAAATGAAACTCGTGGTAAAGAATTCCATTGGCTTTTCCTGTAGTGTACCACAAGGAAACTCAAAGCAACGAGTCATGTCACAATGGCCAAAGAAGGGTGATAGGTTTATTCCCCATCCTTAGTTACGAGGCAGCTCTCCCCAGGCCTTCAGATGACTAGTAAAGGAACCCACACTACACAAAGTACAGAGGTAAGCAGAGATGGATGGGAGTAAATTAAGCAAGCAAATTAAAGCTAAATAAGTATCTACTTTATACTTTTTTATCAAAATGGCATAAGTGGCTATTATCCTTTCTCAAGGCCAGTGATGGAATGTGAGGTGATCACAGAGATAAACATAAGGTGGTAGAGTATTTTTTAGATCCTTTTAGAAATGTTTAGCAGTTCATCAAGCACAAGAATTGAGCAACTGAACAAAATTATTCATCAAGGATTTTATAGTGTATGTGTGTATATGTGTATCATTGCCCTAGACTGTACTTATAGTTCAATATCTGATGTAGGGATGCATCAAGAAAAGCATGATACAATGGCCAATAGTCTGTATTAGAATACTGAAGAATCGAGAGAGAAAAATCAAGGTTTCTGTGAAAAGAACAAATATACAAAAACAACCGGCAAGTGGGGGAAATGACAATAGGATGTTCTTGTATGTGGAGAGCAGTGACACATTAATATTGTAGTTTCCACCGGCGTTTAACAATGCCAGACACAGCAAGTTTAGATGGTGTGGTGAGTTGTGAATCCTGAGCTATAGGGCGCCGCATGAGTACATGAAGTTGATGTCAGCATAGACTAGTTACAGTAAACAATATCATAATTACAGACCTGAGACTTTGAAAATACAGCAACAAACACAATGGTGGTGTCATAAAATGCTCAAATTAAAGAAAATAGTGAATTGAAAGAAAATGGGGATTTTGTAGGGTCATCCAGGTACTTACTGAGTCTCAGCACAAAGCTGTGCAGAATAATGGGTATAAGGACCAGAAATCGTTCAGAGGGCATATCCTTAAGTCCACTAAACCAAGAATACAGGACCTACATTTCATTTCAACAAGTTTGGCTAACAAATTTTTCCTATCTACTTACTGATTTCAGTCCAGAAGGTACTTTGGAAAGCATGTAATAAGTGTTAATAAAAATAATGTGATGTGACATTCTAAGGAACTTAGAAATTTTGATCATAATTTGTTAATGCTGACTTTTAATATAAAATTTCCTTATAGTATACATTATACTGTTAAGTTCAAAGCCACCATTATGATTCTATAAAATAAGTATATATTGCTATATGTCTGCTAGGTCAAGATTCCAAATGTTGGTAAAAGTTGAAGGCTGGAAGGGCTTTCATCACGTTGAAGAGAATGTGAGAAAATTTCCTGTGGTTTCTTCAAAATGGAACCTATTTTAAGCAGATGACCTAGGAACCACTTCAATGTGCATGATGCAAAAAAAGCCTGAATGGAAATATTCACAGTAGTGTTATGCACAGTAACCAAACTTTCTAGACACCTGAGAGTCTTTAGTTCTGAAAATAACCTGTAGTACAACCAGATGATAAAACTTTACTCAGGGATGAAAGGAAAGGGTGGCAAACATGAAGACATGGAGAAGTCGATGGATCATTGCTAAGCCGAAGCTTCCAGTCTAAAAAGCAACATATGTGATTGCAACAAAGTGGCCGTCTGGAACAGACAAGACAGTAGACACAATAGGAAGATGAGCGATTGTCATGGATCACCTGGAAGGAAGAGGCACATCATGAAGGCAAAATTGACAGATGCAATTAAATATTTGCCCAACGCCATAGAATATGCCATACCAGAATTGAGGTGACAATGGCTTATTAGTGCCCAACCATAAATTGTGGTGACAGTATCCATAGTGCTTGTGCATCGAGGAAGCTTCCTCGATGCACTAGGAGCAGCAGAAGGTATATAGGGAAATTCTTTACCTTTCTCTCCCTCTCAGTTTTTATGTAAACTTGAAGTTGCTTTGAAAGTTAGTCTTAAACAAATGAGATGGGAACCTCGGTAACCATGGAGAAGCTGGACATGGCAGCGCACATGGATTATCTCAGTGCTGGGGAGGTAGAAAAAACAAAATCCCTGGAGCTCTCTAATTACTCTAATGAAATTTGTCTGTCCAGGTTCAGTGACTCTCAAAAATAGAGAGTGATAGAAGAAGGCATCTAACATCAAGAACAATCTCTGGCCCCCACAGACAAGTGTACATACATGCACGCACACCTGCTCATATATGTAACCACACTCACACATATGAACACTCATATACACATGTATTTATAATACACACATATAACCATACATCTAAACACTCATACGGACATGTGTTCACACCTGCACACGCATGCACTCACACACACATGAGCACTCATACACACATGCATATGCATGCACCTATGTACATACAGTCGAACACACATGTATGCATACTACATACAGAAATGCAAAAATAACACACTATGTCAAGAAATGTTGATTAAAGGGATCAGCACGTCTTAAATTGGTCCACATATACAAATCACCCATGATCAAACCTTCCAAATGTTAAAATCAGAATTGTCATTTTTTAACATAAAGCTTCAAAGACTGTTGAGGTGGCATTCTATTAATATAACCAATGTGATGGGCCTACTATAAAATAATTTCTGTGTAATGCTTTAGGAATGGCAAAAGGAAGGAAATGGCCTAAAATTTATAAAAGTATTACTGTTCATCAGTGGATTAGGGGTAGATAATTCTATGTTTTCAGTTTCACTCTTAAAAATAAATGTCGTTTATATTTTTGGTTGTGAGTCTAGCCACTGAAGGCTGATCCGTCTTGCACATCTTTAATCCCAGTACTTGCGAGGCAGCATCAGGAGAATCTCTGAGTTTGAGGCCAGATATGAATGAATAAAAGAGTGAAATGACCATCTTTTATTTTTAAACCCTGCAGGCCTCCTCCTGTAAGTGAGCTTGCCACCAAAGGGACTGTAGTTGGTGTCATTTCTGCCGCCGCTATCAATCAAAGCATTGTGTACTCCATTGTGGCAGGAAATGAGGAAGGTAAGTACGAAATCTTGCCTGTTTTCCCCCAAAACCAATAAATGTAGAATCGGGTGAATTTTTGATTGACCTCTTATTTTCTCTATCCTAATGTAATTGCGTCCATCTTCAATGTAATTTACAACTTGATTAATAGTCGCGTTGCTTTAACTAAAGCCATTGTGTGCCCTGATTAATGTTTAACATTCAGTTATAGAAGCTTTTACCCTCCCTTTTTTGGTGATATTTTTGTGACATTTCTTCAAAATGAATGAACAATTATTTCAACCACAAGCAATAATTATTTTCTAGAGTCCTCTTTCCCTTCTGTGGACCACATGCCTGACCTCATGGCTCGCTAATCCTGAGGAAGCTTATATAAGTATAGATACCAAAAGAGCCATATCAGTGCCAACAGACAGGTGTGTTATGTAATACAATGCTCCAAACTTTCAAATCAGTTAACAGGAGTTTTGAATTTAGTCTCTCAGCCATGCTCAGAACGGTGGTCATGTGCTGTATTCCAGGAACGACATCATCTCCCACTATGTCCCCACCATGTTCCCACTAGGAGCAATATCATCCTCCTCCACTGAAATGCACTTCAACACTTGTCTGCTGCTTTCTCTTCTGAGGCCTTAAACATCCTGGGATGTGATGACTAGCTGAGGATGTTTAATACATATTTAATATAGGCGATTACTTTGAGTATTTAATCAAAGAATGAACATGGGTGCTCCTTGGCATCTGAAAGGACAGTCTTGAGACTGCCTGAATGGTTTAGGTCCCCACCGCTCACTAGAGTGGGCTGCCCCTTCAGGAAGCTCTCATCCACCTGCTGTTTATTGATCCTCTGTTTTCTCTCCACCATGGCATCTCCTCCTTCAGGCAATGAACCTCCTTTCCCCAGTGCTTCCAAAGCTGGAAAAGCTGTAGCTTCTCAGCCTGTTCTGATGCTCGCCCTGTCCTTGCCCTTGAAGGTAGCAATAAGCTCTATTTATCAACAGCTTCTACCACAGTGGCTGTTTTATGCAGTATATCCATTTACTCCTCCAGCAAATGCTGTGTGTCAGTTCTGTGATAACGAGTCTTCCAGCTACTAGGAGTGTAGAGAAAAGCAAACAAGCATGTTCCCCATGAGCTCAAAATTAAACAATCCAGTTACAGTTAAGCATGCATGTAGAGTATTTCAAAAGGTGTTGATCACTACAGAGAAGAGTAAGGAGGGATGTAGGGAAGGAGGCAATGGAGAACTATACCAGTAGACAACGCTCCCTTCTTTCCACTTAAATTACCTACACACGAACTTTAAAAAAGCAACCAAGGCAAATAATAATAATAATAAATAACAATAAAAGCATTGTATAAAAGTAACCTACAAGCTAAATTACAAACACTATATTCGGGGTTTATAGCCGGACACCAAATCTGCAGTATTAGATGCATGTGAAGAGTAAAAGGAGAAGACACCCTTTGTAAAAAAGGGTTTTTACAAAAACCCTTGCGTTTTGTTTTAAGCAAAACGCAAGGAGATTCTGTAAGAGAAAGGCTCTGCTAAAGCAGGACCATCTAACATCACGGTGACAGGAAGATTGCCAGCTGAGCACTTGCACCCAGCAGACTCAAAATAACATGCAACCAAAGCTACAGTCCGAACGCCATTTAGGGAACACACATTGATAATCCCAACAGCAGGAATGTGTTTCTGAATACCGGAACCCTATCACTTTGAAGCTTAACAATTCTTTCTGATGTTTCTAGTGCTGTTGAAACCATAACACCCTTTAAAGAGAATTTTTTTTGTCATGTGAAGAAACTAAGGAGCTGTATCTTAAATTCCAGATAAGTTCGGAATCAACAATGTCACAGGGGTTATCTACGTGAACGCACCACTGGATTACGAAACACGGACCAGCTACGTGCTTCGGGTGCAAGCAGATTCTCTGGAAGTGGTCCTCGCCAATCTCCGGGTTCCTTCAAAAAGTAAGCTACATTGCTGAAGAGAATGAATATGTTTTGTGGGAGGTTTTGCCGGTTTGATAAGGAATTACATATGCATAAAATAAAGCTATATTTTAATGCCGTCGGAACCTCTTCAGTGGCTGATAGCAGATGACATGGCAACTCTAGGGATGAGATAATAACATACGTTCTATTTACAGATAATGTACAAAATACTATTATACTAACCTCACTTGCATAAGTCGACCCTTTGAGAGCCTGGGAGCATGGCTAACAATACTGCAATGGATGCATGAGCACCAGACACTGACTACATGAGAACAGAGGGAAAAGCACATTAAAAACCATAACTAGTGGGCTGACAAGATGACTCAGTGAGTGAAGGTGCTTGCCACCAAGCCTAGACATGAGATTGATCCCAGAATCCTCATCGTAGAAGAAAAGAATTAACGCCTGAATGTAATCATCTGACCTCCACATACATATGGAGGCATGCATATGCCCAAGGTACACACAGAGAGACAGAGAGGGAGCGAACGATAATAAAAGTATAGTATTTTAATATTTCTGAATTAGTGATTAACAGTAATGCCAAGTTACATGTGGCATCCCATTTGATTGCCATGCATTTCTGTGTGATGATGAGATGACCACCCAGGTCCCTCCCCAGGTCCCCATGGTTGAGGAAGTGATTCCTTCAAGTTCTCCTCTGACTCCCACTTACCTGTGATGAACCCACATGTGCGCACACACAATGGATTAAATGGATGCAATTTTAAAACCCTGTAAATGCAAGCATTTACACTTTTAGAGAAAGGTAGAAGATTCTATAGACTGAAAACTTCTCTGGACAAACCAACAGATAAAATGTTATAAAAGAGCGGCGTAGACCTTGTTGGCTAAAACAGATAATATGATCTAAAAGAAGGGTATTATGTAGCTTGTAAACATAGCACGTGGGAAAAGCTAATTGAATTGTAACTATCACTTTTCATTGAAACAAATAGCTTTCAAAGGAAAATTTAACTGCAGGCTCAGGGGGTAAGATCTTGTATTTCAAAATGACTATCTATAATTTTCAGAATAGAAAGATGGTAAGCTCTCTGTATAAGTATAATACAAGTAATTCCCTTCACTATAGTGTAAACGTAAAATGGAAGGCAGTGGAAGTTTATCCAGTGCCCAGGTATATGCTTGGCTGTGCTCTGGTGGGTATGCAGTGATGAGACCAGCTAAGAAATGCTCATGAATTACCTCACAGAAATGCCTGAAGTCTAAAAGGCACATGTTCATTTGACCCCTGCCTGTTTCTTTGAATATTGCTATTAACATTTCGTGACCAACCTTTGCCTTCTCTTTGAAGTGAAGACACATGCATTTCCAACATTGTCCCATTTATTAATAACTGTTAATAGCCTGTAATCAATCCCTAGTCATTAACTATGCAAATAAGTAGACCATTATGTAAATTGAGGTTAATTAATTAATTGTCTAAAGGTTTTACTTTGCTACAAAATTAGCTACCCTAAGGATTTTAACTCTATTGTACAATATATTAATAAAAATAAGAATCTAATTCACCAAAGTTGTACTTTATTGTGACTTCTTTATCAAGTGATTGTTCATAAAATCATTTTCAAAGTGAATTTTATAACTGTTCTATAAATGGATTTAAAATGTGAATGAGAATTAAAACAGGTGATTATAGAATTTATTTCATAGATTCAGCATTAGAGTTTAAGACAGTATGGACTAGTGGTTTTTAGTGTTAGGATTAAAGTTGGGCATATTTCAATTTACTGGGGACTGGAGAGATGACTCAGCAGTTAAGAGAACTGCCTGCTCTTCCAAAGGTCCTGAGTTCAATTCCCAGCAACCACATGGTGACTTACAAGCATCTGTAATGAGATCTGGTGTCTTCTTGAGGAAGAGACCTGGCCAGTCGTCCTCATCAACTTAGACTATGAAACCCAATGTGGACAAGTTCAACAGAACCACCATATATGGGCTGCCCATGCATGCTTCAGCCTTGCTAGGGCATAAATTTCATTTTTTTCCATATTTCAGTATCTAACTCTTACCTGACCATCACAGAGAAATATTAACATCTCTTCTACAATTCCAGCTACCTGCCATCATGTTTTTTCTAAATCCCATCAGATACATCCTATCCATCTCTGAATATCTCCATGTTATCTCTTAAAGATAATGCCAACACAAAACAACTCTGACCTCAAAGGGAATAAGTGATATTTTTTTCTTGAAACAAAACTGACGACTGCTACCCAAAACATAAAATTCAAGTTGTTCAGAAAGACTCATTCCATTGTGGCCGTGATTACATGCTTTTTGTTAAGTTACAGGATAAGGAAATTTATAAATTAAGGCATTAAAAATATCAATAATAATGGGTATTATCTGTGAGCCACAGTGTGAGAGCTGGGAACTAGAAGTAGATCCTCTAAAAGAGCAAGTACTCCACTTAAGCCGTCTCTCCAGCCACTCCATTCAGGCTTTAAAGTCATGAAGGTGGGGCCTTAAGTAAGTGACTTAAGTAAGGTTGCTTAGCAGGAAAGAGCAATTGCTGTCAATCTCCAAATCCGCATGGTTGAGGAAAAGATTCCTATAAACAACCAATGGATACTACCCACAGGAAGCTTACCACAAAGTGAGCAAATCTCTGCTATGGTTCTTGGATGCTACCTGACATCATAATTAACTCTTGGAAGCAGTGATTTGCTAACACAGTGTAAGGTCTCGCGTGATCCAAAAGATGTTAGGTCAGACACAGTAGTGAGCAGAGTCAGTGCATTATGAGTCAAGTACAAATGCCCACAGCCTGGGAACACAGATTCAGCTTGACCTTTGGGTCACTGAGTGAGATGGTCCCTTGGGGAAAGGCACCTGTCAACCAGCGTCTGATCCCTGGACACTCCAGGGTGAAAGGATGCTGTTCACTGAGATTCACAGGTGTGTCTTGGGTCATGATGCATGGCCACACACTAGAAATAAATAAATACATAATAAGTAAATCTTTAAAAAATCAAGTGAAATAGCATAACATTTAATAAACCAAAGAGAATGGAGAGGAAGATAGATGATAGATGATAGATTGATCTAGAGAGAGAGAGAGAGAGAGAGAGAGAGAGAGAGAGAAAGAGAGAGAGAAGTTACTTTAAACAGAGCACTTTTGACTCTCTATACATTAACAGGCAACTTCTGGTAACATCCCTAAATTGAGGGGGTGGGGCAAGAGGAAGTTTGTCTTTAAATAAAATTTAAAGCATTAATTTATATATTAAAGTAAATATTTTAATTCATTTTTAAACACACTTCCTAATAAACAATTATAGTCTCCTTTTTATTAATATGTATTAATTACATAATATGAGATTCAGTAAAAACCCATGTTCAATGAAAACCTATGCTGAGGTTAGTTTTTGTAGGTCCTCCATTTGAGAAAGGGTGTGGTGCTCCTCCTTCTGTGAGTGGATGGTTTCACTTATTTTCCCCCATGTCCACGTTCTTTACTGCAGATAACAAAGTCTCATTCTTGTCTGGGGGTGAATTATGTTGCATTGCATGTGTACGTAGCAGTATTCCCTACTCATCCATTGGCGGACAGCGGACATCTAGACTGATTTCATAGCTTACCTATTGTGATCATGGCTGTGTTTGGGGTCTTCTCTCTGGCTGCTGGTTTTATTTCCTGTGCTTTTTACCTAGAAGTAGAATGGATGAGTGGTTTTTATGGCTCATCTAATTTTAATTTGACAAAGAAATTTCGTACTGTTCTTCAAAATGATTGTGCAACTTTAGTATCAATGTAGGAGAAATTGTATTCTTCTTTTTAAAAACGTGTTTCTCAACAAGAGGGTTTGTTTTCTGTTTGCCTGCAGGCATTTATTATGTTTAGCTTTTGTTAATTAGCTGCTGTCTAGTCTCAGGTGGCGTCTGTTGTTTTGGTTTCATTTCCCTGACAGATGAGGTATTGATAATTATCCATATATTTTACTGGTCATTTGCATTTTTCCTTTGAGAAATATCTGTTGATGCCATTTAATCATTTTTTGGGTTGTTCTTATTGTTAAGATTTTTTTAACTTTCTAATATAATATGTTCAGATAATATATTGTCAGATATGTTGGAAAATGTATTCTTCTAATCTGTCGTACACTCTTCGCCCCAGTGCTATTTCCTGCGCTCTGCCGAGTCTCTTTATCTGAAGGAATTGCCTCTGAAGTTTCGCTTTTGTTCCTTGTGCATTGAGAATCATGTCTCAATCAATGCAAAGTATTTCCCTATAACTTTCTTCTCATTGTTTTACAATTTCAGGTTTTTAAACTGCAGTATTTTTAAGCATTTATCAACCAGAAAAAAGTATTTTAAATCAAAGATTAGAAAAGATATTGAAACAATACATATTCTTTTGTAGGGAGTTATGAGATGGGGTTATTAAGATACACTATACCCATATATGAAATTTTTAAAGGAGATATTTAATTGAAAATTAAATGTAAATCTTTAAAATGTGGTCTTTAAAAAGCTATGACCCGTGGCTCTGTTCTGAGTCCTAATTTAGTATGACTATAGGGTGAGAATACTTGTAATAAGCTGAGCCTCATTCATGTACAAGTTTTTGTTAGAATTACTAATATTGAGTGGGGCACAGAATAATGTTAGGGTATTTCTAGCAGGCATGGGGCCCTGTTGGTTCTTATCCCAATAAAAGCAAAATTGGTGTATAACAATAACCTTAAAAACAGAGTATATAAATATGCCCATTGGGTATTTGTTCAATGCAGGAACGAATCTGGAAAGTTAAGGCCAAATTGTGAAAGGATGGAGTGCCAGAACAACAGCATCAAATAAATATCACAGTACTCATCCACCCAAAGACTCGGTGCCTAAGCACCACTCCCCTCCACTTTGCCCACATTGGCTCTCTAGCTTTGGCTATACTGAAGATGAGCCACATCAGCGCTGTAATGAGAAGAATGTGCCAGGTTTCTGTTGTCACT